CTATGCTGAATCAATACTACCTATAAGTAAGAAAAACAATGATTCACTGTTCAAAAATTGTGTAAAAAGATAGATTTTAAGAGACCTTTTGAAAGTAAATGTAGATTTGCTTGTAAAATTTCAAAATTTGAGAAAAAAGGGAGAAGGAAGCAAAGCTTCTATCAAAATATTTAGGCCGAACAACGGACGTTCAAGTCTGCCATACGTATGTGAAGACCAACAACTACGTATTTCCTGCGCATCTTATCTCAAGTACCGTCTTCAGTAAGTCACCTTGCACATGCTTGCAAACACGTTCACTGGATGTGACAAGCCCAGCGATAGAGAAAGATACATTGCATAGGATTTGCAATTTCTGTACATTTTTTAATAGTTTGCCTTTTGCCTCTTGTGTCAAACTTGAGAAGAAGTACCTTTTTTAACTTATCAGCTTACAGCTGCTTACTGTACATCACAAAAGACTGAAAGCTAAAAGGAAAAATCTCACACGTCTGTTCTCCGAAAAGACCGTTTTCTTTCAATTCGACACAACCGCCTACACTTCGTGAATGAAAATATTCACAGTGTGGCTGGCACAGTATAACTGTCGCGATCGATCATAATCATCATTACAAGGGAATGTTATCCCCTCTTTCTCTTTCGAACCGAATTTGAGTGAGAAGCATCGTGAAATAACTATAACCCTAGAACCTTTAGGACAGTCATCCTTTAGCACACGGAGTCAGTTAAGATAGTAGTAGACGCTGCGTACCTCAGTAGAAATGGGCAGATGTATTGTTCTGATAAGAGAAATCCTTCATTTCACATTTTCTCGGAATAATTTTATTATTATTATTATTATTATTATTATTATATTTATCATTTATGTATTTTTATTTATCTTTTTTTTTGTGGTCTCTTAAAATTCATCAGCTTAGGTAAAAGGGACATGACATTCAACGTAGTGCGGTTCCAGATTTTTCGGCTGACAGGTCACAGTGAATGCACACTGGCATGAAGTCCAGACATGTTATTTGCACGCTTTTTTCGCTGATGCGAAGCACCCTTGAGAGTGCGTTGTTGAGGTATAGGACTTAGGGGATCATAATTTTGATCCAGTTTCCCATCCAATAATAGCTGTAATAGCGATTAAAAAATTGTAAGGCCCTAACCATCGAGAACGCGAATGTCCCGGACATATGGCACTCAATAGTTTGGTTTTTCGTTCTATGAAATGCAACCAAGGTCGACAGCTTTTGTTTTTACCGTTATAGTATGACATAATTTAGTCAGAGCACTGAATTAAAGAGAGAAAAGTCCAACTTTCGGTTCATATTTTTGACTTCCGGGACATCAACACTTTCGTTACGCTTATTTCTCAAAAACAGTCCAACAATGCACTTCGAAACAATACTGATCTAGTCTCACGCGCGATTTTGAAAAGGTGAACAAAATAAGTAATAAAACGTAACACCTGTGACAGATGATAAAATGGTTACGACAGGATAAGCAAAGAGTACGATGATATTGTAGGAAAGCTGAAAAACAAGCATCGATCACTTGAATATACTTTTTTTTTTTTCTGGGGAGTGGGGAGGGGTCGTTGTCGGTGGTTGTTCCGTTCGAGTCATATCAGCCTCTTCGGTTGGACAGCGGTGTAGACGGTGTTTCGAAAAGTTAAGATAACAGACCCCCCCCCACAAAAAAAAAAAAAAAGAAGGGACAACTTTCCTATGGGTTTGATTAAAACAAGTGATGTTACTCAGTTTTTATCGCCAAAGGACAAACAAAAACTACAGTATAAAATTAAAGTGTACTTTAACATTTTCCGATTGTAAACCTGGTCTGATGAATTAATCGTTAATATCTCCGTTGAAAGGAAATGTCAAACCTCTATTAAGCACCGGTCACCACCCATCAAGAAACAGCCAGATGACGCCTTCCTAATTCGAGACTGACCGCATAATAGGATTTAAAAAAATAAACGTAATATGATAAAAATTGAACCTGCATTAAAAAATTTCACGGATGGACTAATATACAAGACATTTAATTGTTAACAACAGCGACGCGAGCAATTATTTTATAATAACTAATTTAAAACTGCTTAATCACGAGCACTTTATTAGAGAAGTCTCTACGTGCGCTGTGGTTGTCAACCGGGTCGGAACCACAGCATCTAAGGGTTCTTTGACTATTATCTTGCTATTATCTCTATCATTTACGAGTGGTTGGAAGGAAAAGGACATACTTCTTGCCGTCATGTCAAAATGGCATTGTACTGTTATTCAAATATAGGTGAGCTTTTTAAAATAGAGGTGAAAGTAAGCCAATTGGTAAGTTTACAGGGTGACTGCGTCCACTTGAAAGAGGCCGCAACAACGGCTCAAAAGAGGTCGAATTTACCGTAAATATTGAAAGCAAATTCCGGGAATTGCACAAGTAACCGGTTAGCGGAGAGCCTCTTAATGGAGTTTTGATAGTAGTAGAAATGTTGAGCAGAGTTCTTCCGATTTGATTGAAACCGGCTAAAACAGGAATTGGCTTCTGATTGGCTGCAGTTGACACACTTATCTTCCATCGTCTCTATAAGTATCTTGTGATGTTTGTATTGCAAGGAAAGAAAAAAGGAGAGGAGAAGAATTACATCGTTGACCATTTTTCCAACATGGCGCTTTGGGACTGTTGCAGGGTATGGCGAGGTTTAGTCTGGAGCCTGTTTACCTTTCAATCTACATTTCTGTTGATTACTCCAGGTATGTCAACTTGTGTTTAACTCTAATGGGGCGGGTTGAGAGCGAATAATATACCGTAAAATTCCGAAAATAAGCCCCGGGGCTTATATTTTTCAAAAGCCCTTTTTGAGGGGCTTATTTTTGGAGGGGCTTATATTCGGAGGGGCTTATCTACGGAGGGAAATTTGCGTTTCAAAATCGATTTGACTAGCCTTACATTTGAAAGTAAATTTATCGTCTTTGCTTTGTTCTACTTTGTATTTGAGGGTAATTTTCCAAGTACAAGCCCCCCGGGGGGCTTATATTTGGAGGGGCGATTTAACGGAGGGTTTTTTGCGTTACCGGTTTAGGGGGCTTATATTTGGAGGGGCTTATACATGGAGGGGCTTATTTTCGGCATTTTACGGTAAAATTGTAGTTTAAATGTGCTACGACTTTGACTCTTTCCAGCGATAGTCCTTTGTCACAGTGAATCACGGCAAGGAAAGTTGGGTATGGCTTTAATACCAAAACTCTCAAATGATCTAAAATAGTAGAATGTTTTCACAACTATTACTTCTTTCATAAATGGCCGACAGGAAAATAGGCACCTTTTATGTTAAGAAGAGCTGTAAAATTTGATTACGAACCAGAAGTATTTCAAATATACGCGCGCACGATGCCATCCTGCGAGTAGAACCTTGACTTTTACTTACTGCGATTTTGGGGTCTTCCACGAAAAGGGCTCTGTAAGATAATCAATTTAAGCTTGTTTTTGGGCAAGCCCTACTTGTTGCTAGGTTACAGTATCGAGCCCAAGTCAAGTACAGTAGACTTGTTAGTTTAATAACGTTTTAATGGTATATTCGTTTTTTCGGATTCTTTAATAATTAACCCATTCGCTCCTGGAGATTTTGCCGAAAAACGCGTTTTGAAGCTAGTCGAGTGGTTTTCTGGTCACTATGTCGTGCTATAAAGAGCTGAAACTTACCACAGACCGGTTTGCGGCCTTCTGATCCAGATGCAAAATATCAACTTGCGAAGTTCGGGCATGCGCAGAAAGCAAAATTTCGAAGTTTTTGGGTTTAAAAGTGACACAGCAGTCTTGACTTTTACTTTTCGCTTTCTCTCCTCCCTTCTTTTTTCGCTTTTCTTGCCTCATTTTTTTTTCTCTTGCTGGGCATTTAGTAGGCTTCATTTTGGTGGGAAGAGTTTTTAGCAAAGCTTTTAGGATCTTAGGATTAGGTGAAAGGAAAGGTAGGTGGGCAATGGAACAAGATTTTCATGGAAATTTTCAGGTCAATGTCACGTGGTTTTTTGCTTCTTTCTCCGGTGTCCTTGACTGAACTCTTGTGCTCATTCTGGTATGGTTTGAAAGATCTCTTCACTCTGCACAAGTTAGCAAAGAAAGTTGTCCTTGACCGTTAAAACTGATGACGTCACAAAGGGTGGAAAGGACCTGGATCCGCACGGGCGGTTACAGGCGGTTACGGGCGGTTCAGGGGCGAATGGGTTAACTAGGTGTAGGTGCCCTAAAGTTCCTCCAGGATCCTCCATCAGTCCAGGCATCTTATGTCGGCTGGACTGTTGACTACAATTGCACAACAGATGACCCAAGTGGCACAGTGTCACTTTCATATTCTAGAAATTTCGGCATTTCTTATACTGTGTTACAGGTCTCACCAAACAAACTTGTTTTGAGGAAACAAGTGTTCACCTTAGTAAATCTTATTCTTTCGGATAGAGGATTGTATAAATGCGAGGCAACGGACCAGTCAGGTCAAACTATTCAATGGAATTGTGTTTCAATGTTAATTTTACAAGCAGGTTTGTAAGAATATTCTGAGTAAATTGATACTCGTGAGTAGAAAATATGGCTAATACAAACCTTTGACAAGTGCTACATGACCACGTTAAGTGCCAAAGTGATGTGTTGAATAAATGCAGCCTTACCGACAGTAAAGGTATATTAGGCTGTTTTAGCAACAGAACGGGAACATCAGTTGACGACGGCGCGAGCAAATCAAATAACTGGCTTGACCAATGGCAGAGCGGCAAATTGGGCACCGGAAGTCGAGTTTAGTCCTTTTGCTAAATCAGCCTATTATTAATCAGACCCCTTACTAAGGGGCCAGCAAACATGAGCACCACGTGCACTTGTCCTCAACTGTTCTACCAATATTATATTTTGTAAAATAAACCTGTGCTAAGCAGATGCCTTGTGACAGTCCGATAGTTTGCCATTAGTTCCTTTGGAATGCAAAGCGGGCTGGAGTGTGGGATACGAGATACGTCCTAATAAAAACTCGGTAAAATCCCATTTACAAAGATAACTTTAGATTTAAAATAAGTCAGAATAAATAACCATTTTTATTTCAGACTTTTTAACCAATTACTGGAGTAAATTATGTATAGTGACTACCTATACCTACCTGCGTAAAGCACATTTTCTTATGAACTTTTTTTGCAGCCCAGTTACCTACTAGGCATTTTGTTTTGAAACCAAGCAAATCAATCGATGTGCTGCAAGGGCAGAGTGGAGAAGTCACATGTGAAGCTGAGGGTCCTTCAGTTTCTACCCTGAAGTGGGAAAAGCAACAGGATGATCAATCATATGCAGCAGTCCCCAACCGCCAAGTTAACATCACTAAAGATTCAAATCATGTGAGAGCGACCCTGAAGATTACAAATGCCCAGTTTGCAGACGCTGGTACATATAAATGTACAGTGTCAGTTCCACCAAATAAATCAGATTACAGGCTGGCAACCGTCAGAGTCAAGGGTAGGTTTATTTTGAATTCTTACGTTACACTGGAATTCCAACAAATTTAAATTAATATTTATGATTCTTGCACCTCCCCTTGCGTCGTCCATTTTAATTTTCAAAGATAATTTAAACGCACGAAAGAAAAGTCAAATCTGGGGGGAGGAGGCTTTTGGACCTATTTGTAATGTGAATACATGTCATTGTGTTACCGGAAGATTGGTCTCACAGCATCTAATCTCGGACCCAGATCTCTTGTCTGAGAAGCTGAAGGTGAGATCAGGTGACTGTTTCTCGAAAGTCTCGGTAACTTTTCGGGCCGGAAAGCTGTTTTTTGTTAGTTGTGTTTGCATTCAAGATCAAAGTTTCAATAATTTTGAAAATAATACAATAAAACTATCAGTTAATGAAGCAAAATTGACTGGTTTGTAGGCCAGGAACTGTGCTACTATTCAACAGGTTTGGATTTCAAACTTTGCTTTCGGGCGCGAAAGTTTCCGTGACTTTCGAGAAACAGGCACGTGATTGCATGTCAGTAATGTGATAGGAGATGAATATTTTTTAACAGCGAGCTTGGATTTTAATGGCAATAGTATTAGGTTGTAGGTAGCCCAACAGCGTGACTTCAAGTTGAGCCCACCTACCTCTTAGTCCCATATCAAACAAAAACTTTTGAATCCGCCCCCTTTGCAGGTCAAGGAAGTCTTCCAGTGATCGCCCAAATAGGAGATTGTGTCGAACGGGACGAAGATATACATTCACTACAAAATCATGCCGTAAATTTATCATGTAAACTTAAAAAAAACTGTCTTACTATAGTTACTTCTTTTATCATTCTCAGCATTTTCGTGAAGAACCAGTTTCTTCAAGGAATAAATCCCAGTATAGCCTGCGTTGCAGCCGGCCCACGCATCGCCTAAACCATGTATAGATACAAAGAAGGTTTAGTGTCTGCGATGCAGGCTAAGCCCGGTAAAGCGAGACAAGGAAAAAAAAGCGGGGGCGGGGGAAGCAAAAATTTTACCTTTAACTCCTGCCCTGCGAACGCGAATTTTGAGAGTAGCAAAGAAAGTTTTGAAAGGATAACGCGTTAGCATTGAACTAAATGACATGCGAGAATGTTACTATACAGGTTAGAAGCATGAGTAACAGTTTTTAGTTAAGGACTTGAGACTTGAACTTACATATAAAGTTAGAATACAGCGTGTAGGTTTGTGTATTTGACAAGGCTGTGCTCTAAGGAACATTGAAAGGAGCCCAGTTCTCTGAACCTGTAAAATCTAGGCTGCCCATGAGCATATGATTTGTATGAAAAATCGGCGATTTTCTCTGAGTCACCAAAGAGCAACAGTTAGGCGCCAGGGGCCACCGGGCTCTGCTAGAGCACAGCCTTGTTTGAACTTTAATTTATATCAGGACCTTAACAATCGATGGCAATCGATAACAATCGATGACAATCGATATCAGTTAATCGATTGATATTGATAATCGATGGACAATCGATCCCGAAAATTTTTGTGATTATTGATTATCATCGATTATCAATATTAATCGATAATCGATATGGGAATCGATCGATTAACATAACAGATTGTTATCAATATGCAATATCAATCGATTAGCTATTCAGTCAAACATTTCAATTGTCACACATTTTGATATCATTGCTTTTTCATTGAGTAAAAACTAGCGAGTAGCAATGTTTATTCGCCCACACGTTTCGCGCGAGTTTAAAATTCATAGTCTAGACGTACTACGTTTAGACTATGAGAGCAACCCTAAAGATCACAAATGCCCAGTTCGCGGACACTGGTGCATACAAATTAATGCACAGTATCAGTTCCACCAAATCAATCAGATTACAAGCTGACAAAGATAGAAGTCAAGGGTATGCTTGTACTCATGCTATTTCATTGTAAAGGTTACATACATGTACTTTTATTGCTAGTATCTCATCATTTCTGCAATACATGGCCCAGCGGCCAGCATATTAGACTCACAATACTGTTGTCCCCAGTTCATGTCCTGCTCTGACTTGCTGAATTTGTTTTTGGTCTTCCCAACATCAATTCCTTGCCTATGCTTTTCCAGCTGGTTGCTTCCTGCCAGTTAGGGTTTTCAATCCTGTTATGTTCTATTTGGGTTATCATTTTGTTTCCAGTTAAATTAAGAGTGGAGTGCCAGTAAACTAGCTGGACTTCCACTGTGAAAGCAAACCAAAAAAACAGTATTAACTGCACATCAACAATGTACATGTACAGTACGCACTTATGCAATGGACAAAAACTGGTGAATACTCATATGATGGTCTGATGATGACTAAGTTCCGGCATTTGATGTGGATGACAATTCTGCTCTGTACAAAACAATAGCAATATTTTGTCAGACAAATTATTTGTTATTGTGTAGGCTACAGTTGATTGTCACTTAGTATTAATCTATGTAAAATCTGTTTTGTTCACACATTTAGCTCCTTCAGCACCCAAAATTAGTCCCTACACAGAGAAAACAGAAATACTAGAGGGATCCACCAAGGCTATCAAGTGTGTAGCAGAGGGATATCCAAAGCCAACGGTAGACTGGTACAGAAGTGGCAAGAAAATGAATGTCACAAACTGCCATTCAAACCCTCAGAGTTGTGAAAAAGTTGACTATGAGGTTTATGAAGAAGGAGATGGTTCTTCTGGACGTCATACTATTTACACAGTTCAAGTTCTCAAAATAAGAAGTGCACTATATCCAAGAGATGTTGGTGAATTTAAATGTGTTGCATCAAATGGAGTTTCACCAGATGCTGAGTTGATTGTCAGCTTGGATGTTCAAGGTACTTTATATAAGCAAAGGAATACCTTTGTACTTTATGTAACCATTTGCATAATACATGTGCAATTTTTTTTACCCCATTTACAATTAATGATTTGCTCAAAACCAACATCTAGAGCCTTAGTTCCATTGTACAGCTGTAGCAATTGTGATCCTTAGTAAGTAAATTTTAAGTGTTAAATACATCTTTGATGCACAACTCATTGGCAGCGCCTGTGAACTAGTCAATCAAATCAGGCCAGAATTGATATTAATCCTTCTCTGTACGTAACTGCTCTCTTTTGAACACTTGGAAACATTGTTACCTTCCCATGCATTAATTGATTTTTTTACCTAAATGTTTCGGCCAGGATTGAAACTAGCTGGTGAAAGCATAGAAAAACAATTGTAAGCACTTTTGTTACTTGTACACTGTAGCACTTACAGTGTAGAGTGCAAAGTTGTATTCTGAGTGCAAACCTGTTTTCCAAGTTGAGAAAGGCAAGGAACTAATTTGAAGAGGGGGGTGGGGGGTGTGAGAGGCTTATTTGCATTGGGGTGCTTAATACTCTTACAGTTAAAATGTAATAAACATTGTCTTCCTTTCAAACAAACACATCTGTAAACAGAGCACAAAAACATATCTCTAAGAAAAAAAAACTGAATATGGTCTTACTGATGACATTTAAGGTCCTAAAAGTTCTGGTGTTGAAATGCTCTTTCTCTCTTTCTTTGTACTGGATATTCAGTCACATTAGTTTTCTTGGAGAAGGGTGCTTGGTAAGAAACTCTTGACAACAAGATCCAATTTAGCAGATTATACATGTAAGTTAAATCAGAGGTTGAAGAAGGATTATAAACATCAGAACACAGTTGAAATTTTACAATCTTATTTTTAATATAAGATGTGGCGCAGTCTACCCCATGAGCATCAGTGTATGATATTTGCAGACTGCAGACCGCAGACTGCAGACGGCTGTGTGTAAAAGTGGGACGGAGACAAGGGGACGGGGACATCGGGACGCGTGTGTGGAGACTTGGGACTTGGGGAAGCGACATCAAGTATGGGACGCGGGGACGTGGGGACGGGGACACAGGGACGAAGAGGACGCGGGATGTGAACGATTATCGCAAAAGTCGGAGGTAAATGCAATATCTCTTTCGTCGTGAAAATGTGTTGTTTATGTGTTACCGTAAAATTCCGAAAATAAGCCCCAGGGCTTATATTTTTCAATGGCCCTTTTTGAGGGGCTTATTTTTGGACGGGCTTATATTCGGAGGGGCTTATCTACGGAGGGAAATTTGCGTTTCAAAATCGATTGGGCTAGTCTTATAAACGGAAGTAAATTTACCGTTTTTCAAGCCTTTGTTTTACTTTGTATTTGAGGGCAATTTTCAAGTACAAGCCCCCCGGGGGCTTATATTTGGAGGGGCGATTTAACGGAGGGTTTTTTGCGTTATGAGTTTGAGGGGCTTATATTTGGAGGGGCTTATTTTCGGAATTTTACGGTATTTAACACATTTGCACGAAGAAAGAGACATCGCATTTACCTCCGACTTTTGCGATAATTATTCACACCCCGCGTCCCCTGCGTCCCTGGTTTTGACGTCCCCGCGTCCTATATTTGATGTCCTCAAGTCCCTCGTCTCGTGTCCCCAAGTCCCAAGTCCCCACACACGTGTCCCGATGTCCCCGTCCCCATAGATTGCAGATTGTAAGTTAAAAGACACCAAAAATCTTCCTAATAAAGGTGACACCATCAAAAATATAACATCGTGTGAAAGTGAGAAAGTAGCCCGGGAACAAGGTTGATATTTTTGCGCAAAGTTACATTGATGTCATTTACAAGATGCTGTTGGCTATTCTTCACCGACGCGACTCTTTATTGACTCATCCGGCATATCACCAATTGCGCTGATTCTTTATTCTTCTTTGATTACTGTGAATTGATAATGACATTTGGCAATGCCTACTAATACCTGTCTAAATAGTAGTCTTCTGTAGAAAAGAGTTTTTAGTTTGCGAGCACTTCCTGCTCACTACTGTTACGTCGACCAAAAACAACTAGGATAGATCACGGACATTTAACACCTTTTAAATGACGTATTTCATCTTAGTAGTATTTAAAGATATGCTAAATAATCTAAACCAAACAGATCCTACCTGGACTGGACGAATTACCGGAAGTGCATTTTGAATTTCGAAATAAGCAAATCGACAATGGCTCTTTTAACAGGCCAATCATTGCTCATACTCAAATCCTAGTACGCAGGTGGGGCTCCCGTAGAATAAGGATTCCGGCGCTGTTTCACAGATAGACTTATATAACCAGAGTTAAGTTTCGTCTGTGGTGCAGGCTAAATTGCTAGCCTGTTGCTATGGATTCATGAGCGAGTTTGTGACATCGGCAGACATTATTCTGCTCTAATTCAATACGAGAAGAACATCCAACAACTCCTTCAGGAATGAGGTCGGTGTAATTTGCGTGAAAAATATAAACTTCGCTTCTAGGCTTTACATGTACTTCTCGGAACAAGGTAATGTTGATGATGATGCCACCTTTATTACGATATTTTTGGCTTCATTCACTTTACAGTCTTGCTGCCTCATGCAGTCTGCAAATGTCATACACCGCAGGAGCATCGCATCATCATGGCAACTCATTTAAGGATACGGTAAATCCACTATTAAGCCCCCCAGGGGGCATATTTTTTTCAAGCACTTTTGAGGAGAGGCTTAATAGAGACGAAGGGGAGTAGAGACGGGGGGGGGGGCTTATTTAATTTAGCGAAATGCATCAACAGGAGCAAGGTTTCTCAAGGACGGACTTGTGTTACCGGGCGCTATACTGCTTTTTCTAGCAATAAGAAAATGGTAACAATTCTCCACGGAGAACTAGAGCATAAAGTTGAAAAAGTTCGATCAGCACATGAAGTTGGAGGTCATATCATATGGCCGAAGACCAAAAACAATATGAATTTCCAGCCTGAATAAACTATAACTGATCAGTCCACGTTAATTGTTTGTGAAGAATAGGGATGGAGGGGGGAGGGGAGGGGGGGACTTAATAACTTTTCTCTGACCTCTGAAAAGGGGGGGGGCTTACTAGAGAGGGGGCGCTTAATAGAGTATTTACGGTACTTTATTCGAGATAGTGACATGAACTAGGCATCAACTAACAATCTTAATTTAATGCAGTTAAGCCGACCCTGAAAGAGAGATTAGTTGCAGTTGCTGTGGTAGAAGGCAAAGAAGCTGAAGTTTCCTGTACAGTGACCAAGAGCAACCCACTGCCAACGTTCAGTTGGCAGTATGCTTTCAAAAACTTGGAATGTGATATTCAACAACCTACCGGTACCTGTGTCCCTAAGGAAAACAAGTGGATTACTGTTCCTAGTCAGCTGGTGTTTCCCAGCAGCTCAACACCAACAAATGAAAGCATTGTGAATGTTGCCAAAGACCAACAAAATGCATTCTACCGTTGCCAAGCATTCAATTCCTTGGGAAATGATTCGCAAATCTTGAGATTTGTCAGACTTGGTAAGAACATCAGTTAGTAAAAACAGTCCTTTTTTGAGATATTGAATTGTACAAAAGTGTAAGAATGTGCTTCATACTACTACAGACAAGAGGACAGATTTTCTAGGGCCGACCTGCACCTGTTCAAAACAAAGTTTGTGATTGGCTGGCAAAACAATAGGGATGGTGACATAGTGCGAGTTATAGGGAGGTCAATCGATTTTCTACTTATAGCTCAAGCTAGGTTGCAAATGGACAGATTAATGCTCACCTGAGGACGTTTTTAGCTGCATGTATTTTGTGCACATCTAATTGGGCTTGGAACTGAGACACCCTATGTGATAATATATATTGGAAAATGTGTGGTTCCAGGCATACCCATAAAACCGTGCCGAAAAAATAGGCCAAAGTTTTAAAAAAGTCTTTAGGAAGGTAAGCTTGTTAAGAACTTATGCAGATCTTGGAGGATGTTATCCACCTCGACCTCCAGCCTGGGTGGATAACATCCTCCTTGATCTGCATAATTCTTCATATCTTACCATCTTCATTTTTAAATAATTACATGTATTGCTAATTTCCTATGATTGATCAACAGTGAAACCAGATCCCATGGTTGAGATTGACACTGGTAAAACTATGACCGAGGTGAACGAGAAGTCTACCTTACAGGTCTTCTGCATTGACCGGATGGATGGTGACTGGGGCCTCCTTTTCTCAAAAGATGGGGAAAAAATAGAACTAAGTGATCCACGTGTCAATGTCACCATTTTTGAAAATCAACCGAAAGAAACTGAAAGGTTGTTTAAACTGACGATAAAGAATGTTACAATGAATGATACAGGAGAGTATGGATGCACCCTTTCTGTTTTGTTTCCAAAGCTCCTTGATGCCATCAATGTTACGGTGAAAGGTGAGCGAGCTAAGGTCAGGGAAAGAATATTCTGAGTAAATTGTTACTCGTGAGTAGAAAATATGGCGAATACAAACCTTTGACAAGTGCGACGTGGCTACGTTAATTGCCAAAGTAATGTGTTGAATAGATGCAGCCTTACAGTAAAAGTATATTGTTAAGCAGACCCCTTACTAAGGGGCCAGCAAACATGAGCACCACTAGACTGCGAGCAGTGTCTCTTTTTCTTCAGATTTAGTAAGGGGAGTGCACGCGCGCGAAACGACGGCGGCAGCCCGAGACGAAAAAAGAGCGCCTTTAGTCACGCGTGTGGTCATTTGCGTGTCTCGGGCGTTTTGCTCGACGGACCAAGAACAAAGAGAGACTGCTCGTAGTCTATAGCACCACTTGCAGTTGTCCTCATCTGTTCTTCCAATATTATGTTCTGTAAAATTAACCCTGTGCTAAGCAGATGCCTTGTGACAGTCCGATAGTTTGCCATTAGTTCTTTTGGAATGCAAAGCGGGCTGAAGTGTGGGATACGAGATACGTCCTAATAAAAACTGTAAAATCCCATTTACAAAGATAACTTTGGATTTAAAATAAGTCAGAATATATAAACATTTTTGTTTCAGACGTTTTAACCAGTTACTGGGAGTAAATTGTGTAGTGACTACCCATTGAAGGCTGCATCTAAGGTACATTTTCTTATGAAATTTGTTTGCAGCTCAGTTACCTAGGCATTTTGTTTTGAAACCAAACAAATCAATTGATGTGCTGCAAGGGCAGAGTGGAGAAGTCACATGTGAAGCTGTGGGCTCCTCAGTTTCTACCCTGAAGTGGGAAAAGCAACAGGATGATCAATCATATGCAGCCGTCCCCAACAGCCAAGTTAACGTCAATAAAGATTCAAACTATGTGAGAGCAAGCCTGAAGATTACAAATGCCCAGTTTGCAGACGCTGGTACATATAAATGTACAGTGTCAGTTCCACCAAATAAATCAGATTACAGGCTGGCAACCGTTAGAGTCAAGGGTAGGTTTATTTTGAATTCTTACATTACACTGGAATTCCAACAAATTTAATTTAATATTTATGATTCTTGTACCTCCCCATGCGTCGTTCATTTTAACTTTCAAAGATGATTTAAACGCACGAAGGAAAAGTCAAATCCGGGGAGGGGGAGGCTTTTGGACCTATTTGTAATCTGAATAAATGTCATTGTGTTACCGGAAGAAAGCATCTAATCTCGGACCCAGATCTCTTGTCCGTGAAGCTGAAGGCCATATTTATTCATCTTACTTTTTGTTTGGTTATCACTGTTACATTTTAGTGAAATATCTCTTGTTTTCTCACTGTGACAAATATATTGTCTTATTTACTTACAGTTTCGCCCGCCGTCCGAGGGAAGCAGTAATAGATCCGGTCCTGGAAGAAAAGGCAAATGAACCACTATCCCCCATTTCATGGACACGAACTTAAATAAGTAGCCACCGAAAATAAACCTTGAGATATAATAACTAAATTTTGTTCTGTTTATGCTACTGCTCTAGTTAATTTTATCCGTATCTGGACTGGGCTTTTCTTTGCTTCCTGCGACCAGGAGGAAATTCGGAGACCCCCCTCTAGACGTTCAAAACCGCTCACGATACTGTCAATTACAGAGAATAATGTAGCCATCATTCCCAATATCTAGGTATAACTTGATTGGCACAATAACGTACATAATTTGATGTCATCATGGCGCGTCAATTGTTGAATTTATTGCAGAATCCAAATTTCCTAAAAGTAGCCTTAAAAGGAAAAATACTTAAAATATAAGGTGTCTGATAAGTTGGCTAACACATAAACTACAACAATAGCAGTGACGTCAAGAAGACGTCATTTATTATAAGGAAGGAACTGGAACCATCCGCCATATTGGATTCGACCCCGTATACCGTAAATCGAGATAATCGTGATCGAAAATTTGATGTGCGTATCGTGAAAGATACTTAGGAAGCAAAACATCTGCAAGATTCTGAGAGATATAACCACTGTTGAAAAACTGAACTCAGTATCTGCCATTTGGTCATTTTAATTTCGTGTTTTTTTTTCTCAAATTAGTCACTGAAAAGCCTAGACTACGTTAAACCCAATAATAACTTTAATAAAATAATTTTAAAATTTAGTGTAATCAGAAACTTATAAGGAGTTGTTCAATGCTCGTGAATATTCATGTTTTATAAGTACCATATATAGGAACCCTTCCTGCAGCCTCAAAAAAGCAATAGATTTCCTGACAACAGCTTTGCACGTGCATCACGCTTTTTTTTAACATTTCCGTCACTG